TTAAGGACTTAAATTGAAAATAGAAAAAAAAAAGCTTTTGATTATGTTTTTCAATACTTTTTCCTTTTTTTTCTTCACTGTTTAATGGAATTATTCTTTTTCAATTTACTTTTCTCTTTACAACCTTAATGTTCATAATTAAAATTTGATTAACTAGTATTCTTTGTCAGTTTAAATGTTTTTTGCACTAATATCCACTAATATTTTAATATATTAGTATTTATAGTTTTAATATTAATTATTTAGAGAATAAGACGGTAATAATATATAATGATATCTCAACCAATTATTAAGTTCTTAATTTTGACAATGCCCTACTAAATTAACTGCAGGGAAACAAAAGAAACAGTCAAAGTATATAACTTAAAAAAAAAAAAAATCAAACGGTAAGAGTAGGGTGAGGTTATGTAAGAAAGATGAACGGTGAGACGGGATAAAATGTCATATATTGAATTTGCATGTAAAAAATGAATAATTATAATAGTTCAATTGTTGCATTTGATTTGGGTAAATGCTTCTTACGTACTATTTTTGTTCTACATTTTACTACACTTACTTATTTGACCAAATTTTTTTTGGAGAATATATATAGACTAAATACTCTTTTGAGTTCTCAACAAAAAAACACGAAATCTATTTTAATCTCTTAGAAAAAAAGTCGACTTATAGTCCGTCTGAAATTTCAGTTCTTTAAAATTGTGGTCCCTCTGAAATTCAAAGAAGAGCAATGTTAGTCCCTCAAAAAGAACTAACATGGGTACTTTTTTTCTTCTAAGATATTAAAATGTGTTTTATGTTTTTTGTTGAGGACCCAAAAATGTATTTACTCATACATATACATATACACACACACACACACATATATATATATATATATATATATATATATATATTAATAAGTGTGTTTTAATATTTTATTATTTAAAAGTAATATAAAAAATGGGTTAAAAATTTGTCCTGTTAAATGATGTAACTTATGTTCTTTTAGCAATTCGTAACTATGTACTAAGAGCAGTACATAGTTATAATATTAAAGTTATACTTTTCTTTACAAAAAAAAAGTTATGCTTTTTTACTTTTCAAGTCAGCAAATAGTGTCTGAAGATGGAGAAAAAAAATAAAATTTTAATATTATAACTATGTATTACCCTTAGTACATAGTTATAAATTGTTAAAAGAACATAAATTACATCTTTTGAAAGGTTAAATCTTTTCCCTATAAAAAAAATGTAACAGAAGTAATGTGCAAATTTTACTCTTATTTGACTTTACGGTGTCATTTCTAGCAACTTTGTGAAGTCGGTATGTTACCATTTTACATCATTGCCATTTTTCATTACTTTACTTTACTTTTTTCTGGTAAAAAAAAGAAAAAAGAATCGATCGGGTGCAGTCACTTAATTTGAATTGCTCAGTTGGTTGTGTCCCACTGTCCCTTACTCTCTTATGCATTGATTACAACACATTAATTCTTCATTATGTAAAGTAATTTTAAGTAGTAGTGTTCAATTGATTGATTTAAAATCCATTTAATTACTTAATTTGATCATACGATTGGTTGAATTTATTTAGCCAAAAAGAATCAATTGATAAAGTGTGTTAAGTTTTAACAAAATGTTTGAGTAGTAGCGATAGATGACTAGTATAAGATTAAATGTATTTTTTTGTAGCTGAATATATAAATTGACCCAAATTCAACTCAATTGCATTGAGTAACTCTTTTTTGCTAAAAAATGATAATTCAACGTTACACGGTTAAAGCTATATATTGAGAAAAATGTGATTGCAAAAAAACAAAGTAGTTATGTTTTATAATATTTTATACGAGGGTAACGTGACTCTATAACAAACGTAAGTATACCTATACGAAGTGAGGGTTAGAAGGAAAAAGAGAAAGAGAAGGAAAAGGAAAATTGTTAGAAGCACGTGGACAAGAGGCCAAGAAGTGAAATGATGAGATGTGGCTGGATGGTGAAGTTTGTCTTGTCGCCGTTTGAATCTTCTCACTCCAAAATCTAGATAAAGTACGTGGCTAAAAAAGTGAAATAAGACAAATTTGATGACCGAGACGAAAGCATTGTTCTCGTTTCTAGGCTGAGGATGGCGAAAGAGATAGAGAGAGAGTTCTTATCTAAGAGAAGAAAAAGAGAGCGTTATATTAGACTATTATGTGCAAGATGATGGCATGCATGTTCCCAAGTGTACACACACATGACACACCAACATATATAGCACTGATATATATAATATATAGCTTCTATTACGTTAGAGTCTTGGTGAAGCTTGATGAAAACCGAAACCCCATAAAGAAATAATAAAGAAAACGAGAATTTTGGTGGTGTTTATGTATGTTATGCTCCTTTCTGTTTTGGTCATACATATGATTCCTTGCCGTTAACTATAGTGGGGGGAACTATCATGTGATAAAAAATGGTGGGGCCAGAAGTTTCCTTGTAATCATGAGAAGTAGAGAATAGCGTTTCTTTGCAATAGTTTAATACATATGTCATGAGCTTCTTGCAGTTTCTAAGTTATAAAACGACAGCTTGAAAAGGAGTTTCTCTCTACAACTATCACGTTAGTCACGCAGCTTCATGTTATGTTTTTCACTTCTTATGTCACCCCTTCTCTATTTTTCTCACCGTATGAGCCATTGAACCCACATAGAAACAATTACAAAAGAGCTTATATAGTTTACATGGACAGTATAATGACTCTCATTATTCTTTACGTTCATGAACATAATATTTAATTGGGAGAGAGTTCATAATTAGAAAAGAAGCATATTACTATTTGTACGTAAATAAAGAAAAGTAAGAAGGAGAAAAAAGTTGTTTATACATATTTAGAGAGAGAACATATAACTCTAAGAATAGTTTCCACGTGTACCCAAAACTTATTTTTCATGGAAGCAAAGAGTTTGCAACCAAATTAAAGTGGCCTTTTCAACTGAATCATGAGAATCGAACAAATACTCAATTTTGTATATAGGGGAGAAACATTACACAACTTTGAGTTTCAATTTTAACTAAATATATTTTACATAATTGTTTGGAAGCGTTTTCACTTGCATGCACACATAATATATTTTTCTTTGGTTATGATATGTGAGGGATAAAGAAAAAGGTTAATCTAATCTTTTCATCATTCGCGGGGTCTGAGTTTTTCGCGCAAATAGTGAAAGTAAAGAATAAAGATGACAAAGGCAAGCAAGAAAAAGCAATCCTTCAAATCCTACTTTGTTTTGCTTTCCCTTTCCCGCTCTACGACATGATACAGAATTGCAATGAGAGTTGATGCTCAGTGGCATTTAGCACGAATATGAGGGCTCACTCTCCAACACTCTAAAAAGCTACACATAACCATTTTTGTTTTTTTTGCTGGTCCAAAAAATAAAAAAACGTACCCTAAGCTTTAGATGCCATATTTTTCTCTCTCGCTATCTCATTCAAACACATTGACAATCTATCATTAAACTTACTTTCAAACCACCACTTTTTTGGACACCAAAGCACAACACATTGCAACTAATTATTGTGAAGAGCCTAAGTAACATAGAAAAATAAACATGGTAACTCAGTTGTTAGTAAGAGAGCTAGTAAGTATAAAGGAAAGAGTCTCGGTTTGATCCTCACATATCATCTTTGAGAGGGATTTAAATATCTTTATCTCAGAATTGTCTCGCATTCCGGATTAGTCTCATAGCCGACTCATAGAATTGAAACTTGTAAAAATACCGAGAAAATTAACTTGCCTCAAAAAACTCAAAAAAAAAATAGAAAAATAAATTGAAAGTAATATATATATATATACGAATAATCCAAAATTCAGTCACTGGATTGTCCAGTGAGTGAATTTTGACTATATTCTTCCGCGAGAATATAGTGCAAAAACATTATAATGGTGTTCTGCAGGTGTTCTCCCGGGAGAACATAGGTAAAAAATTTTGTGCACTATATTCTCGCGGGAGAATATAATTCACTGGACTTAATTTACATCAAGTCACTTGATACTCACTAAACCCATATATATATATATATATATATATATATATATATATATATATATATATATATATATATGAGGTAGGATCTTTTGACACCAGTGTCAAAATTCAAATTTGACACCTCGTCTGAAAGCCGTTAGATCAAAAAAGATCAATGGTGTCATATGCTTGCAAATCAGAGTTGTTGATCTTTTTTTATCTAACGGCTCTCAGATGAGGTGTCAAATTTAAATTTTGACACTGGTGTCAAAGGATCCTACCTCTCTATATATATATATATATATATATAAATAAAAAGAGAGAGAGATAGCAGGGTTATAGGCCAATAAAGAGAGAGAGAGAGAGAGAGAGAGAGAGAGAGAGAGAGAGAGAGAGAGAGCAGGGTTATAGGCCTTGATAGTGCAGGGTGTTTTTGAGTATCGCATTGATCAGTATCTGAAGGAGTCTGAGACTTAGTTCTCTGATAGACACAGAGAGGGACAAGTTAAGACAGTGGTGTATGAGATCTGGTCCTTCTGTTATCAACTGAATATAAAACAAATAAAATGTATAGCATTAATTAAAGTCCCTCAGTTTCGATTAACAACAGTCTAAAAATCCATCACAGATCCCAAAGTATATTGAGTGAAACGGTAAACTTACCACCGACCTGTTTCAAGTAGTGAAGCTTAAGAATGCTCTATGTAAAGACAAATCTCCAGTTCATCAAATTGATCAATACCCAACTTTCATTACATTCATTTAGGAATAATTACCTTCATGTAAGACTGATACTAATGTGTGTGGATCAAAATGAACAACAGAAATTTAGAGCACAAGCATCTGATATCTCACATTACTTGAGAATTGAGATGATTATATTGATGAGAATATAAACACATATATGATGAGTTTAACAACTGATCTTAAATTTCACTTCTTTTACATATATATGTTGATTTGAATACAACATAAATAAAATGACACAACTGATTAACATATACCTAAAGGGGTTTTTAGATAACTATAGATTTGACCTATCTATTAATTTCTTCCTTTAACTTCCATGATTAAGAAAGGTCTACCTCTTAATCCTCCTCCACCTTCTCCTCCTCTTTCCCTCATCTAGGGCAAAGTGCTATATGGTTGCTGAACATCACCCCAAGCGTGGACCCCACTCCAGTTGTTGTTTGTATTTTCATTACCATTGCCTCCATTAATGGTAGTTGTTGTTGAAGGAGTCACTGAAGAAAAAGGATTCCCAAAGAACCATTCAGTGGGTGTATCTCCATTTGGGCCTTCTTTTCTTGAATTCCCAACTGGGAAACTCTCTGGCTTTGAAATCTCAAGGTTCTGAAACAAAATGGGTTGTGGCTTCTGGGTCTGGTTCTCAAGGTTAACCTGTGAAAGTGAAACGCTGCTATGATCTCTCTGGTCGTTTTCTCCACCAAGCATCATTGCTAATCTCTGCTGCTGCAGCTTCCAGTGCAAGTCCTGATTAATAGAGCTCAATGATTCAATTGAAGAAGCAAGGTTACCATGAACGTTCATTGAGTTCATGCCCTGAACTGCACCAGTGAATCCATTTCCCATTGAAGATGAAAAAGGGTGGTTCAGACCAAGCAAGAAATTTGAGCCACCAGAGGGATCAAGGTTGAAACCAGAAGCACTTGTGGCAGAAGCAGAAGAGGCTGGAACATCACCAAAAGAAGAGAACTGGTTATAGATACCAGTGGTTTGTGGGTGATGATTCTGCATAGAAGGGAAGGGTAACCCACCAAGCCGAAAATCCATAGATGGTGAAATACCATTAAGGAACCTGAGGCCACCGAGCTCTGAAGAAGAACCAGAGTCTTTGGAGTCAAATGAGAGCCTCGATGATGATGATGATGATGAAGACTTGGCTTTCTTGTTCTTCCTGCAACCACCACCTATTGGAACGTTACGCAAGGCTCCACCATTTGTCCAGTATCTTCTACATGTCTTGCAAAAATGCCTTGGCTGGCTCAGACTGTAGTTGTTGTAGTAGCAGAACTTTGTGTTAGAAGAGTCACATCGTGGACACTTTAGGCCATGCTCCGGTGGCCTTGTGGAGGTGGTTTTCCGGCCATCGGAACTTTGGTTCTCATTATCTTTTGTTGTTGCAGGCTTTGGAAGTGTGTCATTTGGTGGCATCATTGAGAAGGAGAAAGTGGTGTGAGGGGAGAGACAGAGAGAGAGAGAGAGAGAGAGGCAAAGAGGTGAGAGGAAATGAACTTGGGCTTTGTGTTTTTTGTGGGTTGTAAAAAGCTTTCAGTTTCAGTTTCCTTTTGCAGAGGCTAATATACTCACCAATTGAATGGTTTCATGAATGGTGGAAGAGAAAAATTGGAGGGAAGGGTCTTGGATCTTGATGGGTGCCTGTGATTCTCATCAAAGAGGGTGATTGAGAATTAGAAGAAAAAAAAAAATTGGTACATGAGGTGGGGTAGCAGGTCCTTTTCAGATCTAATGGAATAATGAAAGCTATATCCTATAAGTTCCCTAACATATATATGTATGGAAGAGAGACATGGAGAAACTAAGAGAGGGTGTAGATCTCACTAGAAAAAGGATATTATATATACTAAGGGGGAGAGAGAAAGAGAGAGAAACATAAACGAAAAAAAGTAGATGATCCAAAACTGCTATGGCAGTATAAGGCGATCCACTACTACAGTCTACTAAAACAAAACAAATAGGCAGAAATTAACTAGTCCTTTGTTAAGATTAATATTAATGAAATGGGATGTGTATTGGAATTTGATGAATTACAATTATAAATTTATAATCAACTAATCAACTCACTGCAAACTGCTAATACTTGCTAGTAATTACTTTGTCGCATAATGAGTAACGTAGCTTTCTTTTCTCAGTCCAAGACATGTCTAACAAACTTTTCCTCATACATGCAAGCCCTTTCTTACTCTTTTTAAGTTACATATACGTGGATTTTACACTTTTTGTTTGTATATAATTGGCAAATTTTCAGCCGTAGACATTTTAAGTGGACTAGAATGTCACACTGACTTTACTGTTGAAAATTAAATATTTTGCAGTAATCTTTTAAAATTAGAACTTAAAGAGCACCCCATATACAATTGACCTCTACTCTATTTCTATAGGAACAAATTTGAGGAATATTTATGTCAAGAACAAGCAGTTAAATTAATTAACAAGAGACGGTTCTATCTTCATATAATTAGTGATCTCGAATTGGAATTCGAATTTTAAGTACATAGCTATATTAAAAAATATCATAATAAAAACTTTGTCTTTCTTGTGCTTAGAGGTGTAAATGGGCTGGGCTAGGCTTTGGCTTAAATAGGCCAAGCATGTGTAAAAAATATTGAGTATGACCTGGCCTATTAGCCTGTGTAGGCTCCAAATTACAAGTCTGGTCTGACCTATATTCAAAAAATAAAAGTCTTGGCCTAAGCCTGTTTAAGCCTATTAAACATTCAACAATTAAATGAATAACTAAAATAATATTATTTATTATTCAAAAATATTAAATAATAATTTTATTTATTTTATTTTAAATAAATAATATGATATAAGCTGGCCTATAGGTACAAATAAATAAATAAATAATATGTACAAAAAAATCTATGGCCTGTTTTCTAAATAAGTTTTTTAAAAAACCTAGGCGTATTCTATTTTACTACTTATAATATGTTAAGCCTGACCTAATATAGGCTAAGTCGTAGACCCCTGTAGGCCGACCTAACCCATTTACATCCCTACCTGTGGTCATCCCCGACTAAATTGTACTAATTGAAATAATGGATAAAACCGTGAAGAAATCCTAAAATATTTATGTTAAATTTGAGGACTCATCTTTCTTACTCCAGCCCTCCATTTGTTCACTGTGAACAAAAAGCATCAGATTATTTCATCATCCCCTTTCAAATATTTTCTTGCCTCATAGTTGGTAAACAAGGCTTTTTGACATTATTACGTCTTTCAGAAAGAAAAAAAGACTTATTTAATTTATTTATGGAATATTTATCTAAAATAATATGTTTAATTTTGCATATTGAATAATGTGTAATTTAGTGTCAGCGTGGAAGTCCTATATAACAAATGTTCGGGACATTTTAAGTCCCACGTTACTAATTTACGGGACTAGTCTCCTATTATTCTCATGGGAGACTTAAGTATATATAAAATCAAAAATCAAACAAACTCTTCAATTTACTCCTTTCATTTCTCTACCTAAGTCCAGCACGAGTAATACGGCCGTATACTTGAAATGTGGGACTTACAGAGTTTCTTACGTTTATCGTATAGGACTTTCATGTTGGTACATCATTTCGCATGGTTAACGTGTAGCACTCATCCGTACGATTAACGTGCGAGATTAATCACATTAATCAAAATAATTATTTTTTAAAACAATTAAATAGAAATATTTTTTTCTGAAAGACCGTAGTACTGACAAAAACCATGGTAAATGATGTAAAACGAGGCAACTAACAGATAAATATTGTACTATGCCCAACAGAGAACCATGAAAAATTAGATTTCAATATCAAGATAGTGCATGAGCTACGGTTTATATAATATAGCAATAGAATATGGGGAATGATCCGTTTACAAATTTTTTTTTATAAATTACACTAAGTATGACTGGTCATACACTATTGATTGAAGTATGTCCGGTCAGACATAGTATAATTTATAAAAATTTATAAAAAAAAAATTTGTAAATATAACTCTCCCCGTAAAATATAGGTTACAAGTGTAAACAGCAAGCAAAAATCTATAGGAGCAGTCAAGTAGAGAGGATGGTAGAAACTAGAAAGAGAGTGAAGAACTGAATCAGTAGGGAACACAATAGCAGCAGTACAACAGCACTGGGTGCTCTGCACACTGCCAACAGCTCGTATATTTCTTTCATTGAAACGTCCCTTTTGAACTAAAGATTAAGGCACCTTTCTAACTTACTTTGAAGAACCCAAATAAAAGCTCACACGTGTGATATTGCCCTACCCCTCATTAACTTTAGTTAATTGCAATAAACTGTTAGTCTTTTTTAGGCTGTAGAGGTACACTCCTCCATTTTCAATGAATGGTACATTTGCATGTGGCCCCTACCGCAATCCTTTGCTTTGCCTCTTAATTGAGCAACCTATTGGGAAAAAATAATTCAAATCTTTTGAAAGATTTGTTCAGCTACAAGTAGAAATGTGATTTATTGAATTTGTAGATCCATATTATGTTTTTTCAATTTCATGTAGGAAACCATACAAGTACCAATGAAATATACTCAACAAACAACTTTATTTATTAAGCTCAACAAAAAAAATAAAAAAAAATGAGAGATATATAACAAAGTAATTCTTGACTCAAAGGTTGTTGTTTTATGACCCAATGATCAATAGTTTAGTCATGAAAATAACCTCTTCACTCATGGAATAAAGTTGCCTACATATAAAATTATTAACCCTTTCCAAATCTAACAAATTTGGGAGCCTCATATGTTGTGCCGTGATTTTAAGAGAAAATTAGAATACCCTTTTAACTCATTTGAATTGAGTATACTTGACGTTTGTTTCTATATTTGAGTCTGACATAATGGAAGGAAGTACAAGTGTGAAAACTCTTATAACTGCAATGATACCCAATATATGACAGGATTTTAACGGTCGTGATCAACCATTTATCTGTCTGTCTTCTTGTAGCTTAGTTGATAGAATAGAATACGTTTATGGGAACTAGGAGACCTATAATATACGTACAAGAAAAAAATTAAAGAGATGTATGTTAAGATTTTGCAAGCAGCACAGGTCTTGAGGGAAGTATATAATAAAAAGAATTTATCAATATATAATAATTATTGAATTTATCAGCAAATTAAACATATGAACTTTGAAATATATATATATATATATATATATATATATATATATATAGGGGAGGGATCTTTTGACTCTAGAATAAGACTTACAACTCTTACACATTATCTCAACCGTTGATTTCCGTCCATTTAACGGTTATTATTTATTTGAAATAAATAATTAATTGTTATAGATAACCGTTAGATGGACGGAAATCAACGGTTGAGATGAGGAATGAGAGTTGTAAGTCTTACTCTAGAGTCAAAAGATCTCTCCCCATATATATATAAGGGTAAACATTTCTGCAGCTACTTTAAATAAGCTTATCTACAGCTACCTTTCATAATTATAACTATGTTCTCCCGGGAGAAGATAGTTATAACATTAAAAGTTACTTTTTTTTTTCTCTCTCCTCATTTACTTTTCGGAACCTGAACGTGGAGAGAAAAAACAACTTTAATGTTATAACTATGTTCTCTTGGGAGAACATAATTATAAATGGATAGCTGTAGATAAGCTTATCTAAAGTGACTGCATATAAGCTTATATATATGAAAGAGTTTCATGTCTTGTGTTAGAATGCCTGGTGGGCGAGTACAAACAACAAAATTAGACCCTTGTAGTCATGATAAGTATGAAGTTCACAACTAGCTAGCTAGAAAAACATGGAACCACCGACCAAAGCTTGTGTTTTACTTGTATGATAGTGAAGAAACGTGCAGCGCCATAGAAAAACAGCCATGTCCAGCGGGGAGAGAGAGGGAGAGATGAGTGAGAGAAAGGAACACGTGAAAGGGGTGGCTGGATTCCCGTGAGAGCTAACCAAAAACCATGGCCATATACATCCTTACATAAGAGCAACGTTTCCTCAAACGTTACATTTCACGAGTTATCCTTCCTTATCTTAAGTCTAACAACTTTTGTCATCTGCTCCTTCAACATTCATAATATGCCAAATGTACTAGATAGTAATCTTCCCTTACAAGAATAAGATGAAAAAAAAAAAACTATAGGTAATTGTATGTGTTTTTCTGATAATTGATTTTATAATTATATTGTAGACAAAAAGCATTTAATTTATGTGTTTGGCTTACAAACTAACGAGTGTGTAATATGTAATGTGTAGCTAGACACGCGACCACATGTTTAAATTTTAAGTAAGCCAAATACTTGAGGCAGGTCACAAGGAATATTTTTATAAATTCACTAGTTGTGTGAATTGCCTTGCTTTTAGCCGTAATGGACATCACCTTATTACTATTTAAGAAAAAAATGAAGACAACAACAACGATAACAAAAATATATATTTGATCAATTTGACACCTTTAAGTTGGGTGAATTTAAAAACTAAATATATCATGAGTCCTAATTAGATTGTAAAAACTAAATTAATGATTACCTGTAATTTGGTTTGATTCTAAACCAGTAGTATCGTTATTAGTATTCAAAGTTTAGTTAATTTTTAACAAATCATTCAAGATTTTGTAGCAACAA